ACGGACTATTGATAATATTGACATTGGAGGGAAAGAAATTTTTCAACAAAAATTAATTAAAGAAGCTTTTATGGACTATTACACTAAACTATATGCTAAAGATGATGTGCAGAATGGACTTATAGAAAAATATTTAGATAATAAAAGAGTCACAAAAATTACAGATCAACAAAAGGAAAGAATGAATTATCCTATAACAGAGGAGGAGATAATGGCAGCAATTAAACAATTAAAAACAGCTAAAGCTCCTGGAACTGATGGCTTGACAGCAGTGTATTATAAAACTTTGCAAACAGAAATGGTGGAACAACTTAGAGATTTGTTTTGTAATATTCAACAAGGGGGTAAAATACCCCCATCATGGACAACAGCATATATTTCTTTGATACCAAAAGAGCAAGCAGGTCCTAAAAAACCAGAGAATTATAGACCAATATCTCTTCTTAATACTGACTATAAAATTTATGCAAAAGTACTAGCCAACAGGCTGATGCCAGTAATTCAAAAGGTGATTCATGATGACCAAGCGGGATTTATCGAGGGTAGATACATGAAGGATAATGTAAGGCAAGTAATAGATTTATTGGAATATCTTGAGAGGAATAAACAGGTACCTGCAGTGCTGGTTTTTTTGGATGCGGAAAAGGCCTTTGACAGAGTGGATTGGAATTTTCTATTAAAGACTTTAAAAAAGATGGACTTTGGGGACCAATTTATACAGGCGGTCTCAGCAATTTACCAAGAGCAAAAGGCACAGATTATTATCAATGGAAGTTTGACAACAGAGTTTAAAATTGAAAAAGGAACAAGACAGGGATGTCCGTTATCCCCATTGTTATTTATTTTAACATTAGAAGTCTTGTTAAATACAATACGGGACTCTAATATCTTGAAAGGTATAACGATAAGGCAAGAGGATTACAGAATAAAAGCATTTGCAGATGATCTGGTTGTTACCCTAACACAGCCAATGGAATCAATAATCCAGATGAAGGACATTATACAAGACTATGGTAAAGTTTCAGGTTTTAGACTGAATCAGAAAAAAACTAAGATGATAGTTAAAAATATGACACAAGATCGTAAACATGAGCTTGAAAGGAGGGCAGGTTTTGAGATTGTACCAAAGGTAAAATATCTAGGAGTTCAGGTTGCAGAATCAAATATGAAATTGTTTCAAAATAATTATGAGGTTTTGTGGCGAGAGGTGCAGAAAGATATGGAGACTTGGAAAAAACTGCAGCTGTCTTTACTTGGAAGAATAGCAGCAGTTAAGATGAACATTTTGCCAAGATTTCTTTTTTTGTTTCAAATGATTCCGGTGCTCAAAAGCGATAAACAACTGAAAGTCTGGCAAACTGGAGTGAACAAGTTTGTCTGGAACGAGAAAAAACCGAGAGTGAAATTGAAAATTATGCAAGATGTTCCAGAAAGGGGAGGTCTTAAACTTCCAAACCTACAGTTATACTACGAAGCAGCAGCTTTGACTTCAGCAAGTGATTGGTTTGGAAGGAAAAAGACTGGAATATTGAATATTGAAAGTTTTGATCTTGAATTTGGATGGCATGCTTACTTATTTTATGATAACAAAGTGGATAAAGTATTTAAAAGCCATATACTTAGAGACTCTTTGATGAGAGTTTGGAAGAAGCACCGATTCAAATGGGATTATAAAATACCGCTATGGCTGGATCTTGGTCATATTATGTGGAATACAAATATAATGTCACTCGGGGGGTTTTTATACAAAGAGGTTCTTTTTACAGATGCGGGCAGATGGCAGTTGAAGACACTACAGACACTGTTGGACGAAGGGATTAACTTAACTTGGTTACAATATAATCAATTACAATTGAGATGGAGAGAGGACCAAAAAACTGGTATTATGTTGCATGAGGAAGAATTGGTTAGACATATAAAAGAGAAAGGTCCAATGCATATTAAAAGGCTTTATAATGTTTTGTTGGAAAGGGATTCAGAAACTGAACTGGTTAAAGACTGTATGATTAAGTGGGCACAAAATTTTGAGGAGCCAGTGATGTTGGAAACATGGGAAAAAATTTGGGTTCAGAATGTTAAATTTACACAGTTGCAGAATTTGAGGGAAAATTTCTATAAAATGTTTTATAGATGGCATTTAGACCCCAAAAATTGTCGTGTATGTACCCTAATGTTCAGCCAAAATGTTGCAGATGTGATTGTTTAGATGCTACATATTATCATGTTTGGTGGACTTGTAGGAAAGTTAAGGCTTTTTGGATAAAAATTTGGTGGGTCATGCAGAATGTTTTGAAGAAAAAAATTCAATTTTCTCCACAATTGTTTTTATTGGGTATAGTTAAGGGTTTTACTACGGGTGAAACAAAGTTGATATTGTACATGATAACAGCTGCGAGATTATTGATAGGTAAATATTGGAAGAATGAAGTTTTGCCCACGATTGAGGAATGGACTTTGAAGATGGCCAGTTTTGCAGAGATGGCGAAGATTTCAGCATTTTTAAAAGACTGTTCACAAGAGACTTATGAATGGGAATGGAAAAAGTGGATAGATTATGTTCAGAACAAATATCAAACTAGGAAGTACCAAATAGCTTTTATTTGAAAATGATATTTTAAGATAGAAATATTTCAGTGTAATGAAGATGAAAAACTTACAAGGAGGAGGGAGGGGTTCAAGTTTTATATAAGTTTTATATTAAGGTTTTTTTTTTACCTGATATAAGTATATTGTGTGGAAGTCCGGGGGGAGGGGAGGGTTAGGGAGGGTTAGGGAGGATGGGAAGTTCGGGGTGGGTAGAGGGGGGGGGGGAAAGGGGTGAAAATGTAATTGTAAAACTTTTGCAATTAAATGTGAGGAATTTGCAGAAAAACTGGGAAAACACTTCACTTTAAAAACTCTAGGAAAAGTAAATAAATATCTAGGTGTTTAGATCAACAAAACAAATAGAGGGTTTAAATTGTCTCAAAAGGACAAGATATTAGAACTATTGAAAAAATGTAATATGTTAAACTCCACACCTTGTGAAACCCTCATGCAAACCAACTTTGTAAAAAATATGAACAATGAAGGTATACCATTTAAGGACAACACCTTATATAGATCGGTAATTGGATCATTGTTGTATATCTCAAATTGGACCAGACCGGACAACACTCTAGCTGTTAATATATTATCCAGACATGTAAGCAATCTGAACACTTATCACTGGGAGGGAATAAAAAGAATTCTCAGGTATCTCAAATTTAGCGCTGACGCTAGCCTATATTTAGAACCTACCCACTCAAAAAAACCAATCTTAACGTGTTATGCAGATGCAGATTGGGCTGGACACACTAAGAGTAGAAAGAGTACATCTGGTTATGTTTTCCTAATTAATAGCTGTCCCGTGCAATGGTATACTGGTAAATGGTAAAGGAGCCTTGGTAGTACAGTGGTTTAATGCACCCTGTTATTAACACAGCTGCCTGCAATTTCTGCAGGTTCGAATCTTACCAGGCTCAAGGTTGACTCAGCCTTCCATCCTTTCTAAGGTAGGTTAAATGAGGACCCAGTTTGTGGGGGCAATAAGCTGACTTTGTATAAATATACAAAAGTATGAAGGCTATTGCTTAACGCATTGTAAGCCGCCCTGAGTCTCCGGAAAAGGGCGGCATATAAATCAAATAAATAATATAAAAAAAAACAACTTAATCGCAACATCTACTGCTGAGGCCGAATACGTTTGCCTTTCTAAAGCCTCTAATAACTTAATATGGTTCGATGATCTCTTATCTTTCATCTAATATGGTTCGATGATCTCTTATCTTTCATCTGGACAGAACCCAATTATCCTGTTAACATTCATGAGGACAATAAAGCTGCAATAGATATATTAAATTCTGAAGCAATAGGTCAAAGATCACGACATATTGATATCAAATATAAACATGTTAGACAACTATCCAACATGGGTTTTATTAAGGCCTCACATTGTGATACTCATGAACAAGTGGCAGATATATTAACAAAACCGTTACCCACCAATCAACATGTGTATTTATCTTCAAAATTGAATATACATATTTAAATCTATAAATATTCATTTTAACTGTTAGGTATTTTAGAGGGGGATTTGTCACCAAGAAAATACCTAACTGTCTGTATATATGTATATATATCTATATCTATATCTAATCCCCATGATGTGATTTATGTATCCCTCCACTTAACTCCTCCTCATCTTTTGCTCCGCCCCTTGAGTATTTAAGCAGATGTTCCTGTCAGACTGCTTGGCTTGTACATAGATCTCCTGTGGAAGAAAACAAGTAAATAAAACAGTGTTTAATTTACAACCTTTGTCTACATATTTATTTGGGCCTGAAAATAAAGAAAAGAAAAACAAACAAGAGTTAAATCTCCATTCCCACCCCACTCCAGGGGTAGGTTACTGCAAAATCCCCATTCCCTCCCGATCGGTTGGTACTCCGGAGGCAGAGAATAGATGGGGGTGGGGCCAGTCAGAGGTGGTATTTACCTGTTCTCCGAACTACTCAAAATTTCCGCTACCGGTTCTCCAGAACTAGTCAGAATCTGCTGAAACCCATCACTGGTTCTATCTATCTCAAGTGTAATATGCTAGCTTCCTAAAACAAATGCACTGACCTAAAAGAGCCTACTGACTGGGTTTCACCTTTCTCAGCAGGACAGTACCCTTCTCACCCACCCATAGGTCTTCGCAGCGAGTTACATTCCTTTTGGAATATACAAACTCCAATTCCATAATTTATTGGAAATTAAATAAAACTATCTGGATACTTAATCAACGTAAAAAAAACAAAACGTTTATACGACCATAACACAATAGCTACTTGCCAAACTCATCCAATCCTGCTTCGTTTCCGACGACCGCAATTCCCAGCACACAGATGTATGTCCCTCGGCGCATTGTACACTGGGAAATGTGGTTTCCGATGAAATCCTGAACTACTAGTCGCACTGCGCATCTGCAAGGTTTCGTGGTAACATTCCCCTACTGGAGCTGTTCTGTGATTTGCGGGAAATGGGGGTGTCCTAGCAACTAGGCTATCCAGCAGCTATTGACGATTCCAATGATCTCGTATAAAGAAACGGCCGAGGTGGAACGAAAGAGAGTCGGTCCAGCCGCTGCTCGGAGCTTGGGAAAGGAAGAGAAACGGCCTTTCGAATTGCTATCGCCGTTGTTCGGCGCCTTGTTCCTAGGTTTCTGTTTCGACAAAAGCTCGGGAACTTCTGTCCCTAGTTCCCCTTGGTCGTGCTATCCAACTGTCTCCTTGAAGCTGCCCCCGAGATTTTAGAATAGCACTCTGGTAAAAAGTGAGGAGGCCATTTGCAACCCACACCTCACCCGCCGAAGGATGCTTGAGTCTATTCGAGTCACTGGTGAGTAACAATGCCGCACCGCCTTTGTTTCCTCATCTGTCAGATCTTTATAGTAGGATTTCTAATAAAACGGAGATCCCGTTGATTTTAAATAGGTCCTGCTCAAATAGATCGTTTGCGTAGCAATGTGTCATTTCTGAGAATTTAAATCCATCAGGGAGCAATTAGGTCAGTACTATGAACTCTGTTGAGTAGAGTAATATGGGCTTCACTTAATTTAAAATATATCAAGTCTGCATGGTAATGATTAAAAAAAGCACATAATTTCTTCCGAACTGGGAATTGTTTTCTCACATAAAATACGAATGGAATAATATCTGTTTAAGTAAATTGCTTTATTATTTTCAAGATTAGTGTGGTGGGGGGGGATATAGAATATTATTGTAGTCTGACACAGTTTGTGCTCTCTCTCTCTCTCTCTCACACACACACACACACACACACACACACACACACACATGTATAGAAATAAACAAACATTGATCTGTCTATACAGAAAAAAGAGGGAATCCTTTTCTCTCTGCATAGATAGAAAAACTCTGGGATCTACTATGGAGAAAGATTTGTGGAAAAATTATTTGTTTTTCTCCTTGTACACAAACAGGTAAATTAGTAGCCATGCTCTATATGGTTGTCATTGTTTGCAACTATGTTAGGTCTACCAGTTCTGGGCTTCATATATCCAGGCTACAAGATGCCATCACAGTATTGTATATCTGTTTGCTGTCATCTAAGGCCTGTCTGGAAGACAGTAATGTTGCTGTGGTAACTCTGAGATAAATCCATCACCTTTTTTTTTGTCCAGAGAAAAACATTTCCTTTGCTGCCAGATTTCTTTATTTTCTCTTATGAATAGAGGGAAAAAAACTTTCTCTGAGTAGGATAGGATTTCAAGAGATGAAATTTTGTGGAGTTCTCAGCCCATTCCTCATTAAATTATTCTGCTTTAGGAAGCCTCTTTGAACAGGTTGCAAGAACTCTCTATCTCCGTCTTCCTCTCCTATTACAGAATTTATATATTTAAATTCAGTAATATTGCAAATGTTCCAGTTGCAGCTATTCTTGTAAAACAAGGAATGCTAACACTATCAGTGAACAGATTTCCTTGTGCTTTTGCTGTGGCCACATTGTCCTCTCAGATACTTCAAAGAAGCCATCTTGAGAGAGAGATCTCATCATCTGGCATCTAACTGTCCAAACATATTTATTGGCTACAAAGCACAAACCTATATAATGCCTTCTTTCAGATTTTTTTTTTTTTTTGCTGTTCTAGATCAGCAGTCCCCAACCTTTTGGACACCAGGAACCAGTTCCATAGAGAGAGGTTTTTCCACGGACCAGAGGGGTGTGGTTTTTGCATACTGTCTGCATCCTGCAGATGGGGCTTTGCTTCTTTGTGAGGCCCGGTTTCTGACATACCGTGGACCAGTGCCAGTCCATGGATGGGGGTTGGGGACCCCTGTTCTAGATGGACTCGCCTTCAGATTTCCTTTGGTTTTGTTATGAATAACTCTTAATTTCATTCTTCCCATTTTGGTTTCACCAGTATCCCACCAAGAGTTCTTATTCCCATCAGTGTTGCTTTCAGGATCACTAAATTGACTTGAGTTTTTCTACCTCATCAGAGTGTGGCAATCACAAACAAAGGAAAACATTAAATTTCAGAGTTGAAATGAGGTATAAATTGGATGTTTTAGAAAATTAGTAGATGTACATGAACCAAAATAAACAACTTTAACTGAGGTGGTTAAATTATTATTATTCAGGGCATGAGACTATAAAAGGCAGTGGTGAGTTGCTATCGGTTCGCCCCGGTTCAGGCGAACTGGTAGTGGCGGTGGGAGGCTCCGCTCACCTGCTCAGATGTCATCAAAAATGTTCTGCGCATGCACAGAAGCTCCACGCACTCACAGAGCAAGCGAGTGCACCTATGCGCTCCCAATAGCAAACTGGTAGCAAAGAAAATTGAAACCCACTGCTGATAAAAGGGAATGTAATTGTAATGATACCAGAAAGGAAATAATAAAGTGTGTTTTACAGTGTTGGCTGTAACTATTAAAATTAGTGTGTATCTAAGGAGTATTGATTTGTGTAAGCAATTGATATTCACTTACTTTAAATGTAATGCTACAACACTGAGGAATGTATGGTAAGATAAATTGCATTAGATGCTAGGTGCATAATCCAATATTGATGTAGTACAACTAATAGGTGATTAGGATGCAAAAGTTAGAGAAATGATGGAACTTGGAATTATTATGATTAAGAAAACACAGTAATGTTGGAGACGATTGAACTTTGGTGTAGAGAATTTTTTGTTCACACCTGCTTCAAGTAATATAAACAAAGTGAATATTTGATTCTCACTGTATGGACAACATCTTAATAAAAAACATTACACATCAGGAAGCAGAATATTAAAAAGATACACCCAGTTGGCAGATCTCTTCCAAGTAAGAATTATGGAATAGATCTTAGGTTGGTGTTAAATATATGGTTTAAACTTCTAAACTTAGAAAATTAAAGGCAGCAAATATGCTGGCATGATTTGAAGTACAGGACATTGTCAGAATATAATAGCAATATGAGGAATATATGAGAATCCGAAGTGCTGTGGAAAGACCAAGAAGACATTAAGAAAACCAAAACAAAAAATATTCGCCGAATGTTAAAGATGAGAAAGCTCCTAGTGGCTTTCAGAAAAAAGTTTTCTTGATAGTCAAAGAATGAGGATTAATCTGCTCCACAGAAAGAGAGGCATGATGGGCAATTTATCAGCTATCAAATTGGAAAGAATAAGGTACAGATAAATGTTAAGGATATTCTTGTCTCACAACCGATGTTGTCGGTTATTGAGCAGAGTACCCTTTGAGTTTACACATGAAAGCGACTGAGAATGATTGTGGATAATAACAGTTAACATACAAACAAACTGGGTTTTGATATTTTACTTTTAGGGAAAAAGCAAAATCATAGTCCAAAAACATTCCAAGTCATACACATATCAAGTGTGATAAAGATCAGTCCAGGGGTATTTTCCAATATAAAGTCTTCTTACCAGTTGTAGAAAAATACAATAAAACAGATCTTTAGTTTCATTCAGGAACACAGTTCGATATATAAACAGTCAATAAATATTAGAAAAGCAATATATAGCCATGATCAATCAATGATCATGCAGAGAGATCAAATATAGAGTTACAGCATATCAGCAGGTAAAATGGTGTAGTGTCCACACAAACCATAAATCAGCTTTCCTTAAGTATATTGGCTACAAAGCTCAGCCAATCAGGATGCATGATAATGCAACACAGTTTTTAAAGCTACATAATACTTTTAGCTACAAACACACAATGTTGGTTTATATATTTCCTGACCAACCAGTTGGGCAATAACAATTTCTTAACAAATATTTAAATAAGAGCAGAAGTACTACATCTTTATGTTAACAAATATGGAAAAACAAGATTGTATAGCATAGAGATTGGGAAATATTAGTGTAGACACACCAACAACAGAGATTCAAGAAATAGGGTAAATTAGCAATCGATCTTATCTTATAATTATCTTATAATTTTGTGAAGTTTCATTATGTGTTATGGATGTCTTTGGTAAGTATATATTTGTAATTTTAAGTTCATTCAGTAGTAAGCAGCAATGGACTTATTGGGATTTATTTTCACAGTAAGCATATTTTAGTTGTTCTGAGCTCTATGTTAGCAGATGGTGATTATTTTTATACCATAAATTCTGATTTGGCATTGCATTTGTATCAGCCCTTTCTCATGCTCCTGTTTCTGAACTCCAGCTATGACACTCTTGAGATACAAGTCAGATGATTTTCCTTTCTGTTCTCTTTCAAGTGTATGTGTTCCCTTATATTAATTATCAAGGCCCTTTCCAACATTTTTTAAATTAGAATTAAAATCTAATACCAATTAGATTTTCTAGACCTTTGATTAAATGGTAGTTTTAGTTTCCTTTATACAATTTTGTAGTCATATCAGTACTGAAACTCTAGATAGAAATTCAGAATTGTAATAATATATTGGTGGGGTTTTTTACATTATGCTTTATATGTGTTATAATTTCTGGTTACAGTAATAAATCAATTCAATAGTTAAAATCAAGAAATTAAATAATTGAATATATTTTCATAATATGATAAACTATTGCTTGTTTTTAATATTGAATAAGGTATGGCATTTACATGAGCAGATCACCATGTGGCTTGGGTATGATTTCAGCCATTCTGTTGTTATAGAATTGTAGGAAGTTAGCACCCACCCCTTTCCTGGAAGAGTGAAATATTTTAGGAAATATGAAAAAGGCAGAAATATGAGAAGCATATTTTACAGACAAAGCAGCTCCCACCTTCCTGCCCCCCACCCTTTGTCAATGGGCCATTAAGGCCTGGGCCAGTCTATTCTACATAACAAAGATCTGTCTCCTTCAGGCAGAGCCATAGTAGGAATTGCGAAAGATAGGATTAGCCCTCTACACAATAGCAGCAGAGACTCACCACATGTGACCTGGGAAGCACATGTGACCATCAGCCAGCAAGACCCCCACCCCCTGGGAGTCTGACAACCAATCAGAGTACTCTTTCTGGGCCCCAGGAAGTTCAAAGCCAGAGAGAGTATAAAACCTGAAAAACTCGCTATATCTCCCCTTTTCTGTTCAGGAACTCAAGCCATGTGATCCTGTCCACCATTAAACCATCTTTCCAAGCAGTCTCCATGTTTCCAGTGTCTGTTTTCCCCACTTGGAGCAGAACCTAGAAGGATGTTTCTTCCAACAGAATGAAAAGATGTCTTGTGATATCATACGTTATAATCATGAATATATTTTACTAATTCTTGTGCTGAGATATGAATTTGAATTATGTTGAATTTTAACAATGAACTAAACAAGGATGATTCAGGGGAAGAACAAGAGAGCTAGAGTACCACTAAGTAGACCCATACAGGTAGTCCTCAACTTATAAACAAATCTTTATCGCTAAGCAAGACAGTTAAGTGAGTTTTGCACCATTTTATGACCTTTCCTGCCACAGTTGTTAGTTGAATCACTGCAGTTGTTAAGTTAGTAACAGTTATTAAGTGAATCTGGCTTTCCTATTGACTTTGTCGATCAGAAGGTTACAAAAAGTGATCACAGGACCCCTAGGACTTCAGCCATCATAAATAAATGTCAGTTGCCAAGCATCTGAATTTTGATCAGATGACCTGGGAATGTTGAAATGATCTTAAGTATCGAAAAAAACCATAAATCACTTTTTTCAGTGCTGCTGTAACTTCGAACGGCACTAAATGAATGGTTGTAACTCAAGGACTACCTGTATTATATTTATCTCAGCAATTATTAGTATTATCCATAACTGCAATGTTTGCTCTTAATAGGATAACAATATACTATAACAGGCACTTTGTGCTAGATAGATTTATAGATAGGAACTAGAGTTAATGTTATTACAAGGTATGATCCAAACATGTTGTTAATGCAATACTTGCTTTGATTAAATTCAAATTTAGTAAACTGGAAAATCGTAACATGCTTGTTCTTGAGAAGGAAATATAACAGGAAGAGTCAGTTCAATTTATTTTCCTTCAAATAACAAAAGGAGGTAGAACTTACTTATGTGTTTCAATATTGCATTCGTATTCCCACTCCTTCTCGTTTTTTGCTTTTCCTGTGGTAAAAGCATTAAGTCTATAACATTCTAAAGCTGAATAAAATAGTGAGTTTAGTGTATACTTTCCCCAAGTAATTTTTCTGATATATTTTTCCTCTTCTCTCCATCTCCCTATTACAGACAGAGTTTGAACTTGCGGTGCAATGAAGAAAAATGGGCGTTTAGAACTTTTAGAATTGAAAATCTGCTCTAGAAGTAATTGTGTGTCAGCATGTTTTCTTTTACATTCAAACATGGGAAAAGAAATTGGTATAAATTTAAAGGAGACTTAATGGCCATTCTAGTTGAGGAATTTTGGAAGAATGGGAGGTATAAGGAGGGCATCCAGACTGGGAAAGCTTTATCTGGTCAATACACTTTTTCTGGTAGAACAGTGTTTCTCAAGCTCAACTATTTGAACTGGCATTCATATTACATATTAAAATCTAGAAAAATCTTTTTGATTAAATTAGGCTTTTTTATTTTTTTTAATTCAGAAAAGCTTCACTGGCCAGAGCAAGAACTGTCCAAGAAGTCCATCTTGAAGCCTGAAGAACAGAAATTTCTTTGCATGAGTGAAACAAGAAGTGTTAAGTCCTTCATCCTTAAGGACAACTTCACCACAGGGACAAGCAGCTACAATGTTTTGCTGCAGAGCAAAGAAGAAAAAAAACATCAAAAACATTCATCAGCCCGCCACAAAAGACTCCGGAAGCCCACCAAACCCACTCATGGCTCACACAGTAATGAGCGCCACAAGGTTAAGACGCCACTGTTTATTCCCCCAAATGGGTGGTGCTGTTTCAAAAGGCACTCCTCCTATTTTATTCCCAACTCACTCCGCAATGGGATTAAATTAGCACAAAGTATTTCAGTAACAGGGAACAGCATAGGATTGTCAACGCCACCCAAGAACAAATCCAAAAAACATTTTACCTTTAGCCTAGGAAAGCCCAAACAGTTGCAAACTTCTAAAAGCTGCTTAAAAGATGGAGATGCTACTGCTCGTAAGTTTTGTATCCTCACTGCAATCAAGCCTTCCAATGTGGAAAGGGAGAAGATAAAGTTCTTCAAATCAGATTTTACCTCTAACCCACAGTTTGAATATGCAAGTTCTGTCCTGCCCAGTGTACTTGAAAAGTACAGCCAAGCATCCAGTTTATTTCTTAAACAGGTAGACATACTTTTGCTATTTCTCATGCATAATTCTTTTTAAATCCCCTCTTATTTTTTCCTTAGTTCTATTAGCCTAGAAAGGGGATAGTCTGATTAGGGGATAGTCTGATTAGGAAAGAGCTTTTGAAAAGCAGGATGAAAGGACACAGAACACTTGTGCAGCTTTCCTTTCCATTTTAAGAACTGAAAGTCTGAAGCAGGGCCTCTATTGACAGTGGTCTCTGAAACAAGCAGTGGTGACATCAAACAATAACACATGGATCATCAAGCAAATAGATGATTACATAATTTATGACAGGATGTTTCATGTAATCTTGCAGATATCCATACCTTTTGCTTAGGCTTCCATGGGAGAAGGGAGGATTTCTCTCACTCAGGTACAGGAGTGAGTTGCAGTCAGCAATGCAGTGCACACATGCTCTATACAATCACACCATCGTCCCCACCATCTTGACTTTTTGCATATTAAGACAAACATTTTTAATCCATTGTAAAGTGAAAAAAAAAAACCTACTTCCTCCTACTTTTTTGGGTTTACACAAGCAGGGCTAATCCACCATCTCTTGAGGATGATATAGGTCTAGATTTAATGCACTGAATAGATTACATAGCCTTCAACACTTTTTTCACCTCTTGGATTTTGAAAGAATAATAGTTCAAATCTAGAAAAGGCAAACTAAAGAGCTTAGTAGTATGTCAAAGTGGGAAAAAGTTAAGCACCTCCTACACATACACCACTTTTACTTTATAATCAAGCCTTCTATCCCTATATATGTAAGTTCATACATTGGAATAGGACATGTTTAAATAAATATTCTTGATTTTGAGGATATTTCATTACCCAAACCAGGTAATATCATTAGTGCTTGTTACAACTTAATTTCATTAGAAACCAAAAGAGATTAGATTACTGATATTGATTTTTTTTTGGTTGTTTTTTACTTCATGGTATCTTGTTTGTTCTCTCTGAAAAAAAATCAAAGCACAGTGAACAATTAGAAGATAAAATATTAAAGGGAACAATCTGCTTAAATGAAATGATTGCTCAATAGAAATTGTAAGGTCCTGCCTCTACTCCCCATTCAAAAAAATACGAACTCTTGAGGTAGCAGCATTTCAAAAGGAACCTTTTATTGAAAGGAAGTGATTGCAAGACAAAAGCAAAGCAGGCTGTAAGGTCCCATCCCTGTTCTGTTCTGTTAGGAGAAAGGAGTTAGAAACCGCTCCCCTCAGTCCAATGTTGAATGAGCCTATCCACATGTGTGAAGAAGTTGTGAAACAGGTCATCCTGGGAAGGAAATAAAGGATTGTTCCCAGGCGCTTCTTTCAGGAGGCTTCAGAACTGAGAAAAAACAGATGGCCCTCCCCCCCTTATACATTCTCCAAAGGTAAATCAAAACACAGGGCAGATAAGTGTCAGAGCTAGGGTTATGATCTAAGGGGTTACAGGATATGTAGGAAACGGGAAGAGGCTAATAAGTGAATAAATGATCCAGGCCCTCCTCCCCACAGAAATGGCAGTATCACAATAGGGATCTGACAGAAATTATATATATGTATGTGGAATAAGCAATGAGTATTATAAATGGCTATCAGTATTCTAGGAGTTTGCTTTGGAAACTGGAGAATATCATTTTGAATTATTTATGCCACTTGTTACAAAATAAAATGAGACTTCCTTCATAGCAGAAAACCTATTTTCCTTTTAGCATCAAACATTCCATGGGCTTACATGTCCTCACAGTCTTGGGATAGTAGAATAGAATAGAGCTGGAAGGGACCTTGTAGGCCTAGTCCAGCTTCCTGCTCTGGCAGGAGACCCTATACCAGGGTGGCTGTCCAATCTCTTCTTAAAAACCTCCAGTGATGAAGCTGGACCCACAATTTCTGAATGCAAGCTGTTCCACTGCTTAACTGTCCTCACTGTTAGGAAGTTTCTCCTTAATTCCAGGTTGCTTCTCTGTTTGATTAGTTTTCAATCATTGTTTCTTTTCCTGCCCTCTGGTGCTTAGGAGAATAATTTGACCCCCTCTTCTTTGTGGCAGCCCCTGAAATATTGGAATACTGCTATCATGTCACCCCTAATTCTAATATAATATATAGTATAGCATAGCATAGCATATACCTGTGATGACGAACCTATGGCACATGTGCCACAGGTGGCATGCGGAGCTATATCAGTGGGCACATGAGCTGAGCTCCGCTGGGCATGCGTGCGCAGGCCAGCTGATTTTGGGGCCTTCTGGGCCCACCGGAAGCAGGGAAACAGGCTGTTTTCGGCCTCCGGAGGGCTTCCAGGGGGTTGGAGAAGGCTGTTTTCACCCTCCCCAGGCTCCTAGAAAGGCTCTGGAGCCTGGGGATGGTGAAAAACGAGCCTACCACCGTGCCATCACGTGCCAAAAGCAGGGGGAACGTGGGAGGGATCTGTGTGCATGCGTGGGGGGTGAGGTACATAGAAATATGGTGTGGGCCCGCACTCCCCCCACTTTTGGCACGCGATTGCAAAAAGGTTAGCCATCACTGGTCTATACTATACTATACTATACTATACTATACTATACTATACTATACTATACTATACTATACTATACTATACTATACTACACTACACTACACTACACTACACTACACTACACTACACTACAGGTGAAACTCAAAAAATTAGAATATCGTGCAAAAGTTCATTTATTTCAGTAATGCAACTTAAAAGGTGAAATTAATATATGAGATACACTCATTACATGCAAAGCGAGATAATTCAAGAATTGATTTGTCATACTTTTGATGATTATGGCTTACAGCTCATGAAAACCCCAAATTCACAATCTCAGAAAATTAGAATATTGTGAAAAGGTTCAATATTCTAGGCTCAAAGTGTCCCACTCTAATCAGCTAATTAAGCCATAACATCTGTAAAGGGTTCCTGAGCCTTTAAATGGTCTCTCAGTCTGGTTCGGTAGGAATCACAATCATGGGAAAGACTGCTGACCTGTCATATATGAGTCTATCTCATATATTAGTTTCACCTTTTAAGTTGCATTACTGAAATAAATGAACTTTTGCACGATATTCTAATTTTTCGAGTTTCACCTCTATACTATACTATACCATACCATACCATACCATACCATACCATACCATACCATACCATACCATACTATACTATACTAATGTAATTAATGTAATGTAATATAATTAATATAATGTAAATATAATATATGATTGATATGAGATATGATATGATATGATATGGAACTTTGAATATACACTCATGCCACAAAAGCAGATGCATTCCCTTTAGAAAGAGAGGCTGTTCTTCATGTCTCTTTACAATGGAGTTGCCCACTTCTTTTGAAATAAATGGAATAATAATTTATGCAGGGATACATATAAATAGATTAGATTTGCCTTACTACATATAGATGGTGCAGGGAAAATGGAGAACCATTGTTGAAGTTATTGGGACGGTTTCTGAACAATGTTAAGTGTGTATGTTGCTGTCAGATCAGCATAGAAATTTTTGAAAAGAGATTTTGAAGATAATCAGGTGCCTTGCTTTCCATCTCACTACTGTAACTACCCAAGGAATAGTGCTCCTGGTCACCACCACAAATGGCTAGAGTGGGACATTGCAAAAGCAGGATAATATTATGGGCCAATACATTAATTATTAGCACGAAACTGCTTTTTGGCTCCTTAAACTGGGCTGAGTATCACTGTTTCTCCAATACCAGCCCTGAATTGGAAATATGAGGAAAAAAAATCATATATTTAATCTTGATGTGGAACTTAAAAGCAACCATCCTGTTCATATTCATAAGAGAAGAAATATCTACATAGACAACCTGCTCTTTTGATACACATAATTCCAAGACCAAGAGCATATACAGCCAGCAATTAGAACATTTAGCATATTTAAACATTTATGTCTGCTACATTTTTGTGACAGGCTATCAGAATGATGGAACTCACTTTGCAAAAATATGGAAGTTATGAAAATTTTGAACAGTCCACTGGAGGAAGCCTGCTGCCTAGGAGTCGCATCTGGAATCATGTCCGAAAATATATGGCAAAAGAAGGCTGCCTGGGCGAGGTTGGTTTTTTTGCAGCATTTCTTTGAATTAGAGAGTCACAGTTTATCCACATTCCTATTTGTAGTTTTATGTTAGCCATCATTCCTATAGATGACATACATACATAATTAATGGTAACCAGCTGTCTCTAAAGAGTGATAACCATATGATGCAGGAACTACCAATTATTTTTTAGAATAAGCTATACAGTCCTGTATGAATGCATCCACTGTTCTTTAAGTCATGTTTCAATTTAGACACAGAAATAGGTAAACGAAATGGAGGACAAAGTGCTGTGTATTCTGCTTTGAGTTTTGAAAGAAGTATAGCAAGAGTACTTAGATTGATATACTGCCCAATATTGTTTTACAGCATTCGCTGGGCAGTTTATAATATAGAAGCATTATTTGCATACAGTAGAATCTCTGGTCACCACCATAATTTGTTCCATAACTTTGGTCACAACCTGATTTGGTCATGACCTGAGCCGAACCAAAATTAATGCAGCAGCCATGCGAGGTCACTGTTGTTTGGCACTTACAAAAAAAATGGTGCGGAAGGAAAATCAGCTGCGGCCGTGTTTGATCGTCACCCGAGTATGTGTTTGGGACCAGATTCAAAAATTTTGTGAATTTTTTGGTCGGAACCTGATTTGGTTGTGGTCAGAAAAGTTTGTGACCAGAGGCTCTACTGTATTGCCCTCAATATTCTTAATTTTACTGATCTCAGAAGGAAGGGAGGCTGAGTCAACTGTGAGCCCCATCAGGATCGAACTTCAGGCTTTGGGCAGAGTTTGCTTGCAATACTGCATTTTAACTACTGCACCATCTGGGCAAGCACGCAATATAACTCTACAAAACAAAAAGAAAATTGAACTATTATCCACCACTGATAGTGAAGATAATAAAATAAATTTTATAGAAAAGGAGTACACAGTTGAATGAAAAATATGAATACTAATATAGTTTTATCTTCTATGGCTTGTTTTTCTTCCTCAGATTGTGGTTCATCTTTCTGAAGATTTGCTTTCTCGGGCCTCAATGACTGTGGTGAATGGCCGTCCAACTCTTACTATCAATATTTCCACTGCAAGGGAACATTGGTTAGAAGGGATGCTCAGACATGAAATAGGTATGTAATAATTATTCTGTTTTGTTTTTTTTTTTAATTTGATTTATATGCCGCCCTTCTCCGGAGACTCAGGGCGGCTTACAATGTGCTCAGCAATAGCCTTCATCCTTTTGTATATTTATACAAAGTCATCTTATTGCCCCCACAAACTGGGTCCTCAATTTACCTACCTTAGAAAGGATGGAAGGCTGAGTCAACCTTGAGCCTTGGCGAGATTCGAACCTGCAGTAATTGCAGGCAGCTGGTCTTAATAACCAACTTAATAACAGGGTGCCTTAGACCACTGTACTACCAAGGCTCTTGAGTTTTCCCCAACCCAAAGTACTCCAGCTTTGAGAAAATGGCTAAGGGGAATAGCAGCTTAGTCTAGTGGTTAAGGTAACAGGTTAGAAACCAAGAGACTGAGTTCTAGTCCCACTTTAGTCATAAAAGCAGGCTGGCTGCTGACTTTGGCCTATCACTCTCTCTGAGCCCAACACACTTTACAGAGGGGTTATTGTGGGGAAAAATAGGAGGAGAAAGTAATATTATATATGTTTATTGCCTTGAGTTATTTATAAAAATAATGGCAGGATAGAAATAAATAAAATAAATAAATAAAATAAAATTAGTAGGCAAAGTGAATATGAGGCACATGTTCTCATTTGCTATATATCTGTTCGTATGCAAACACAAATCCTGTATGCTACTTCATGTATACCATATTTGGATTGCTTCTGCAAACACGGGCTGGAAACAGCCTTTTGTAAAAAATATTAGAATAATTTTTTTAAATAATGTTTGTAAACCACTAAATGTAACAACCCACTATTTGTGCTGAAATAAAATGGAATTTCAGAGGCAAATTGCTTCATGCATTTGATTCAGAGTCAAATAGTTTTTTTTATTATTCTGAGAAGTTACTTTATTGGCTGGTGGCTATTGAAGAACTCTCTGGCAAGAAAAAAAAAGCAGCTTTGTAGTTGCAATAGCCTATTCTTGATGGAGCAAGAGGAAAGTTAGAATTCATGTAAAAAGAATTCAGAAAAATTATGTTGAACCTTATGTGAGTGCAGAACCTTTCTGTTCATCATTGAAATAGCTTGAGGTTTTTTAAAGTTTCTGCTTCCCCCTTAAAAAAGTAACACTGTCAGGTGCAAGAAACCAGGATCTAGGATAGAATTCAAAAGCACGGAGAAAGTTTATTCCATGCAGCCTATACACAAGAATCTGATCTACTAACAATCAAGGCAAATAGTCATTAGATAAGAGTCAAGAGACTTCAAGGGGGACTGGATTTAGGTCTCTTTCAGGATTGGAGGACCTACAGACAGATAAGACGTTTAATCCCACTTTCAGGCTCAGCCTGGTCATCTCCTACAAGCAGTACCTTAAGAGTTGCCTATAAACTTTAATGAGAGGATTCCTTAAGTAACAGCAAAAGAAAAAAAAAAAAAATCAGGATCACATGGACCTGTGCCCAGTATGTACACAGCGGTTCGTAGTGCGTAGAGAGAGTTTTTTAATCTAGCAATGAAGCATACAGGTAGTCCTCAATTTACAATGGCAATTGGTCATTCTGCTTAATGATTGCAGTTCTTCCAGTCGTGGTTGCTGTTGTTAAATGAATCAATAAAGATCACTATGTGGGGATATCATGTGGTCACTTGCCAGCTTTCCCATTGACTTTCCTTGTCTGAAGCTGGCAAGGAAGATTGCAAATGAAGACCCCATTATCACAAGATGCTGTGACATCATAATTGTGAACTGGGCTCTGAACACCCAGATTTTAATCATGTGACCATGGGGATATTATGAGGATCAATTGTATGTACCATTTCTTCAGCATTATTGCAAGGTGGAATAATCACTGAACGAGTGGTTATTAACCTGTAATATTTTTAGTAGAGTACATATAAAAACAAAGATTTAAAAAAAAAATCTTTTATTGTTAAGTCTGTTTGCTTTGTTCCATAAAATCATGTTTTTGTTATCTTTTTAATCTATTAAATCAGTTATTATTTAGCATATGAAGAAAACATGACAGAAGAGAAGTAAACGTATATTCACATAATCCACATAATTACAGGTAATCTTAGCAATTCTGTTGCTAAGTGAAACAGTTGTTAAGCGAATTTGCCCCATTTTACCATTTTTCTTGCCACAGTTGTTAAGTGAATCACTGCAGTTGTTAAGTTAGGAACACACTTAAATGAATCTGGCTTCCCCATTGAATTTGCTTGACAGAAGCTTATAAAAGGTGATTACATAACCCAGGACACTGATACTGCAACCATCATAAATATGAGTCAGTTGTCAAACATCCAAATTTTGATCATGTGACTATTGGGATGCTGCAATAGTTGTATCTGTGAAAAAGTTATAAGATCTTTTTTCAATGCCATTGTAACTTTGAAACGGTCACTAAATGAACTGTTGCAAGTCAAGTACTACCTGTGTATATAAAAGTTTTATGGGGGTATAGCAGTGGCCTCATAACTGGATGTCCAATTCAGCTATCCAGGCTATCGCCTCTGGCATTGCTTCATGCAAATCTTCTAGGGAACCAGAGAACGCACTCCATAGGCAATCTTGCCCAATATGTTTAATAGTTTGCATATCAGCACCACAATTGCAACAAGGGGAATCTTTTCATCCTATTGATACAGAGCAGAGGCACTTCTTCCAGTATCACACCTGATTCTGTTCAATTTCGACCAGACAAAGCGAGGCAGGTCATATCCAGGTGATTTGGTAGTGGGATTACTGTTATTAAATCAATATTTGGGTACCTTTGACCATCCAGTTGTTTACTGTAATCAAAATCTGAAGTAAAAGCCTTAAAGGATTTCCTGTTTCACTTAGGGAAGAGACAAACTCCCCTCTAAATAAAGACTGGTAGCTTCCTTTCAAAGAATGAAACAACTGTGATAGAAAGTAGTAATTTTTTCTTGTGGCCAGAAAAGTAGACTAAGAGTGACAGATATCCAAGAGAAAGGCAGAGTATGAACCAGATTTTATCCATTGCAATTTTAAGTTTGGATTGATTCAATTTCTCCTTTGCTTTTCAGTAATCATTTTGATATTGCCTATATATATGTTGGTGTATTCTTATAGGAACTCATTATCTTAGGGGCATTAACAACAATAGCCAATTATGGAACAATTGGAGCGGGCGCCGGAAGCATGGGTTAAAACCCATCAACCCCACTGAGGAAGGCCTGGCCAGCATTCACAGTGTTCTGTTTCGAAAAGATCCTTTCCTGTGGCGGGCTGCCCTCCTGTATTACACTGTCTACCAAGCCAGCCAGATGTCCTTCAGAGAGCTCTTTCAGGACATTGGAAAATTTGTCACTGATCCCAATACTAGGTGGGATTATTGCGTTCGAGCCAAGAGGGGTTGGACTGATACTTCACAACCAGGTAAGCTTTCTTTTATCTACCACTTGCAGATTTTGTTTGAAACTGGGATTTAAGGGGGATGCAATTTTATAGCATAATTCTTTGTATTAAAGCTATAAATCGAACTACGTCAAAGAAATTTATTTCTAAGTAAGCAAGTGTGACATTTTCATTTTATTTTTCTTTTAAAAAATTCTCATTCAAATTATCATTTAATGCTGCCGGAGTAAATATTTTATAATTTTAAAAGTTTTAAAAGTTATAGTCTCCACCATGATTTCTGATTCTTTTAGGGTGCTTTAGTAAAGATCAGGTCTACTTGGATGGCATCCTACGACTTCTGAGATACCGACATTCTATTGATTTCTACTCATTGACAGCTCTAGGAAAGGTGAGTAAATGGCTAGATAAGAAAATGTCAACCTTAATGTAGTTTGTTTGTTTCTAGTACAAATATTATTTAAGACTAAAAGCTGACATGACAAACAGCAGGAACAAGTATCAAATAGTCAGAAGATTAGTGAACATGTTGAAAATAAGATAGATAATATTTTGATTTAATAAATTAGGAGATGTTTAATTTGTTCAAGGCTCATCTGATGAATTTTAATGACTTGTTTTGTCACTCAACTGAAGACATCTGGGGCCTTAATATCCTTGTAAATAAATGGCAAATATTCTATTTACTAATTCCACATTCTCTCAGTCCTCTTGCTTTTATTCATTTATTTGTTCATTCACATATTTATTCATTGTTATTATTATTATTCTTTTATTGGTTTGATTTATATGACGCCCTTCTCCGGAGACAGGGTGGCTTACAATGCGTTAAGCAATAGCCTTCATACTTTTGTATATACCTGCTTAGTAGGGCTTTCGGCTCCCCCTAAGCAGTGTTCTTGTTAAATTGTTAAATTTATCCTTTTGCTGAGGAGATATGTTAAGCAACTGACAACAGAGTGTAAGAAAACAGAAAGAGATAAAAAGAATGTAAACAAAACAAATAAAATAATAGAACATTAAAATAAGCAATAAAAATAGAAATAAATCAAACAAAAATAGAAATAAATAACAAAAACATGGGTGGAGAGTAGAGAGCAAGGAGGGAAATGGGGAGTCTGCCATCAATCAAGCAGCAACCTCCAGGATGAAACTCATTATTTGGTCCCCCAGTCAAATGGGAGAGCAATGTCTTCAGGCTACTGTGGAAGGATAGGAGGGTGGGGACAAATTTTACTGTAGAAGCTCAGATGTTTCAAAGGATGAGCACTGCAGCAAAAAAGGCTCCTCTGGATCTGGATAGTTGGAATTCTTTGACTGATGGGATCCATAGTAGGCCCTCTTTGCTGGAATGAATATTATGGGCTTGTTCCAGTGGGACAACACAGTTCATCAGATAGCCTGGATCTATGCCATGGAGAGCTTTGAAGGTTATAACCAATACCCTGAACTGCACTCCAAAGCAGACTAGTAGCCAGTGAACTTCCATAGCGGAGGTATTTGGGGCCCTCCTGGTCTTTGCACCATTTGAAGCTTCTTTTTTTTAAAAAAAATTAAACAGTTTTTATTAAACAATTTTTTAAAAAAACAAACAAAAACATATTTACATCTTCTTCTTTTCAACATCTTCACATCAGTAATCCATATTTATACATTTTCTCTTTCTTATCTTAATATACAGTATCTTTTATACAAATATTTCTAGTATATCATATATATACTGTTATAATATATTCTATTCTATATATTCTATATATTCTATTTTATTTACATTTGACAAAAACATGTACCTAATTTCCTTTCTACAATTTTTATATCTTCCCATTTATTTCTATATTTCTCCACCTAATTTAATCATTATTTAGTCTTCCTTTGTCCCCCCCCTTTTTTTTTCTTCTTTTCCTCCAAACATTTATACCATTTCTCCCAGACTAAGTAATATTCTGTTTCATCTTTTTCTTGTATCTCCTTCGTGAGCTTATCCATTTCCACACACTCCATACTTTTTCTAATAACATTGTCTTCTGATGGTATGTCATTGTTTTTCCAGTTTTGGGCGAAAAATATTCGTGCTGCTGTAATTATGTGAATGTTTAAGTATCTTATTTCTTTTTCATATGGCCCAGTAATTATTCCCAGTAGGAAAGTTTTTGGCCTCATTTCTATTTGTTGATTTATAATTTCTTCTATTTGTGTTTTAATTATTTGCCAAAATTGCTTTTCCTTATGGCAAGACCACCACATATGATAATACGTTCCTTTTTTGTGTTTACATTTCCAACATAACGGAGAGGTATTTGGAAACATCTTTGCCAATTGGCAGGTGGGAGATGCCATCTATAAAACATTTTATATATATTTTCTTTACAGGGTACAGACATTATTAGTTTGTAATTTATGTTCCATAATTTCTCCCATTTATCTAATTCAATATTGTATCCACATTTTTTTGCCCAAATTATCATGTTTTCTTTGACTACCTCTTCTTCCAATTTGTATCTTAATAAATAGTTATATATATATATTTTTTATCAATTTGTCCTCTGTTCCCTGGAACATTTTATCTAATTCATATGTTTCCTTTTGAAATCCAAATTGTGCCAAATCTGTCTTGTATCTAGATTTTATTTACATATACGGCCACCAATCAATTGTCTGTACCCTGTTCTTTCAATTCCTGTCTTGTTCTTTTTTTTTTTTGAAAATTTTTTAAATTTATTTTTAAACATAAACAGCAGCTTTTTAGAGCAAGGGTTTGATCCAGTATAAAATAAGTATGAATTCCAAATTTCATCAGTTAACATCTTAAAGGAATAAAGAAAAAAAGAAAAAAGAACAAATCTAAACCCAATTTTTATCATTCAATCTAACATCTTATTCTAACATTTAATATTTTATTATGTAATTACCCTAAATCTTAAACTTCAAATCTAAACAGCTCTTCATAATATTCATTTATCATTTTAACAATCAGTATTTCATATATTTTCCATTCTTCAAAGACCCAAATCAAGTCAATGTTTCTTTTAACTCACATCTAATAATCAACATAAAGTATTTTATTCCTCTCTTAAGAACATTTCAAAATCAGTAACTGTTCTTCAAAAATATCTCCTTCACTGCTCCTAGGTTTATTTTTAGCTGGATTGCAGCTTAATTAGCTGATTTTCCGGGATGCTTTCCTCCACTCTTAACCTTATTTGTTGGCTGGATCACAGTTTAGTTTTAACTGCTTTCCAACATTTTCTCCTTCACTCCTCTTAGGTTTATTTTTGGCTGGATAACAGCTTTTCAGCTGTTTTCCAGGGATGCTTCCCTCCACTCCTAACCTATATTTCGCTGGTTCACAGTTTAGCTTTAACTGCTCCCCAGTATTGTCTCCTCCTCTCCTCCTAAATTTATTTTTAGCTGGTTCGCAGCATAATTTGCTGTTTTCCAGGGATACTTTCCTCCACTCCTTACCTTATATTTAACTGGTTCACAGTTTAGCTTTAACTGGTCCCCAGCATTGTCTCCTCCACTCCTCCTGAGTTTATTTTTGGCTGGTTCACAGCTTAATTAGCTATCTTCCAGGGATGTTTTCCTCCACTCCTTACCCTATATTTGACTGGTTTGCAGTTTGGCTCTCACTGCTCTCCAGCATTGCCTCTTCCACTCCTCCTAGGTTTATTTTTGGCTGGTTCACAGCCTAATCAGCTGTTCTCCAGAAATGCTTTCCTCCGCTCCTAACCTTATATTTGACTAATTCACAATTTAGCTTTAATCATCTGATCCCCAAAATCATACTTCTTTGCCAATTTAAACTAATAATGCATTTTATTATATATCTTCTCTCCTATCTCTCCTGAACTATTAATTTTCTCCATTTTTTATTTGTTTCTTGTTTTTCTATGTAAAATAACATTTTAAACCATTTTAAAAATCCATTTACCATAGTTATAAAATCTATAAACAAGTCTTATTAATGTTCAAAAATTCATTCCTATTCTCTTATTTACTGTAGAAAAACAACATTTTAAACCACTTTCAAATCCATTTTCTGTACCATTGGAACGCTTATTAATATTTTTTAAAAGAAATTCTTTCAAAATATCCACATTTGTTGTAGTTTTTCTATAATGACATTTCTCACTTTAAAAATAGTCATAAAGTCTATAAACCAGCAGTTCACAACCTGAGGGTCATGACCCCTTTGGGGGTCGAACGGCTATTTCACAGGGGTCGCCAAAGCCCTCTCTCGCCCCCCCCCATGCCTTCACTCACCCTCACTCTCTGCTCTGTTGGATTGCTGGCCATTCGTTTACCCCGCCCACTCTCAATCTATTGCTGCCTCCTGAGTCCCAGCTGATGGCTAGAGGAAAAAAAACTGTTTAAATTCTTGCCGCGGGGCTTCAAAGGGCCGTCCTATAGCCAGTGGTGGGATTCTGCCGGTTCTGCCCCGCCCTTTGCCCCGCCCCTCCGCACCACTATTTATTGCCAATAAATAGTGGTGAGCGAGGGGCGGGCGAGCCAGCAATTTAATAAATAGTTCGGTGTTTTTTTGTAATTTTATTGGCCCACGAAGCTTCAGCATAGGCTAATTAGCCCTTGATTAGATCGTCTCACGACTCTCAGCTGATTTGCTCTCAGCTATTTTTCTCAGGGCTCTGCTGTTTGTTTGCAAAGAGTGCTGGAGCAATTTTTTTCCCCCTAGCTATGCTAAAAAACGAAACTGAAAATAAAGCAGGATGTTGGCTTTGCTGTTGCTACAACATTGAAAAATTAGGCAGCAGATTTCTTTTCTTTTTCCTCACCAAAAAAGGTAGGTGCAAACAATGGGAAATTTAGAGAAAAAGTGGAGAGTTCAAGATTTTAAAACACAAAAGAAAAAAAGCTCTATTTAACTAGGGAACTGTAATAATTGAGATACTATTAATTGTATATTGTGTTGAAAGCAGAAATGGTTAAGTTGTGGTTTGGAGGAATATATGGGGGAAATTATTTGGTTTATTATTATTGGTAAATATAATTAATTGATTTGTAAGAAATTGGATTGCATGGAAATAATTGGAATATTCATGTTCATATTGATTAATATACAAAAAAGGTAGTTATATAACAAATTGATTTATATTAAAATGTTGAATTTATATTAAACAACTGTAATATTACATAATTAACCAATGTGAAGATGGATATAAAAATAGATGACAATGGGAAGGGGTATAATATAGAATAGAAGGGAAAAATTGAATTTGATTAAGATTAGAGATGAGGATGAAGGGTAATATTGTTTTTTTAGAAAAATAGATGAGGAATAAATATGGCAAAAAGAAAATATAGAAATTGTAAATTTAATTGAAATGACTAAACACTGGTTAAATTTGTGAACCGGCCAAATACTCTGTTCAA